AAAATAAATAGGTAATTAAAAGTTTTCTATTTTTGGTAAATTATTGATTTTATAGAATATTTAATCATTGTCAATACTTTAGGTTCTCAGTTTATCAGTTTGTAGATTAAATAAGCAATTTTCTTAGATTCCCTTCTGATTCCTAAAGTTTAATAGGGATCTTTGAAAAACACCCTCCACAGTCCAGAAAAATTGTCAAAAACTTCTCCAGCTTGGACAAAAGGTAGAGCTTGAGATGTCTTAATCAGCATTTAGTCAGATATTAGAGCATTAATGATGTTTCTGGCCTAGAGAGTGGGAATACTTTCTAATCACTCTGCATATGTTCATAGGGAGACTGTATTTTGTGGTTGTTTTATAAAACCGCATATACATACTTGGATCACTTCAAAGCCAAATAGAAACAACCATGTATTATCAACTCCTTAGATAATCTAAAACAGCAATTATTAAAAAGCACAAATAAAATAAACTGCTGGATTAGAGTGCTATTCCTTTCACATACTTTCAGTGTTTCCTAGGAGCAAATTCATAACATGTCTAGGCTCTGTTAAACACATTTTAATTTTGTTAAACCTAAACCAGATCTTGTTTAATTTTATTAGGTTATCATTGGCAGGTGTTACATGAAATGAAGTAAACTGTGTTTAAGAACCACAGAGTAAAAAATAAAATCATGACCTTAAAATAGAAAATTTTGGATTTATATTATTCTTGTTAAATCCATCAACCTGAAAAGTTTCATCAAAATAGGAGAATTAGTTGCTATGAAAGATAGATTCCTGTAAGGAGATCAAATAAATGTAAACCTATTCTGTTAATCTCTCCTTTTACTTCACACCCTGAATCTTCACTAATGTAATCCTCTTAGTAGTTTTTACTAGGTATTTTTCTTTTTAAACTTAGTATTTTTTTACCAGTGTAATTTTCTTCTTTGTATTGAGTCACATAATGGTTACGTCTGTTTTTTCCTGAATGGACACCAGTTATAAGTGGAATCCTTGCTGTTACCATGGGCCCCAACTTATCAAGTAAAAACTGCTATCATTTAATCCACTTTAAAAGTCTTTAATTCAAACACTCAAATATACCTGTCACTCATATGCTAAAGGACCGTGACTGAATATAAATCATATTTTGAGATTATACCCACTTCTAATAGGTATCATCACTTTATTTATTGAACCTCTGAAGTCACGTTATTTTTGTCATCTGAAATAATCTAGCCACTGATAAAATTGGTTATGCTACCCCAGATATGCAAAGCAATCTAATTTTCATGCCAACCAAATAAGCCACAGTGTAGCGAAAAACAAAACTTGTTTGTGCATAGGCAATTTTAGCAGGCATTTTAAAATATAACACAGATGCTAAAGGCTAGAGGCTCAGATGGCAGATTATTCTTATTTAAATATTACAACTTTTAACGGTAGAGTTACTGTTACAATAGCAATTAGTGCAAAACTTAACATTAGAAGCCAAATAATTTTAGTAGGTGGATATTATTTATAAGACCTCCTATGGGATAAATCTAGGGGAGGGGTTCCTCAGGAAACATGACCCTAGGAAGTAAGTACTTTTCTCATTGGGGTGGACATAAAACCACAACACCAAGATGTGTAAGACATGCCCGAGGTTCTATAATAGTAGATGAGTACCACACAACAGAAAATCTAAATTATATTTGTCAACTGGTATTGTAGGTTGTGTGTTTGAATACATTTTTAGTGATGGGAGGGGACAAAAGGGCAGAAACATATTACATAGCAAGGAGCAGCCAACATTTTTAATTTATCCTGGATTATATTAACAAGCGCAGGCTGAACAATTTACCCAGACCCAAGTATTTGAGGTCATGAGGCTAATTTATTTGTATTTTTTTTTCCTGGCTAAGGCCTGAGTTCTACAAGGTAGGTGCTTAATAAATGTTATTTTGTGAATAGTTCTTGCATTTATCTAAAATTTAAGAATGTGTAATAAGGATTTCCTATTAACTTCTGAGTTGACTGAAAAATTGCCCCAATTCCTGAGTAGCTTTGTTTACATTATCAATCATTTGATATATACAGTCTGAGATTCTGTTGTGTCAATAAAAATCATCATAAAAAATATATTCAACACAGATTAGCCAACTAGAAAACAATCTAACTTCTTCTTGCTGTTAACTGCTTAAGAATCCTTGCAACATTCCTACCCATAATAAAAGGAAAGTGGCACTTAGCAGTTGCAGACAAAATGGAGTCTTACATTTATGGCACAAAATGGAATTTACGTCTACAGCTGTAATAGAAGTAATCTGGAAGAAAACAAAAACAGTCTGCTTTTATGTAAATTTAAAACCAGCAGTTGTGCGTGGAAATAGCTAGCCTTTCAAGTGTTAAAAGGAACTTTTGTATTCTGTTGTATACGTACACTTGTTTTTAAAGCAGGTTGTACAAACAGAAGAAACTATATTTCCAGTTTTTTGTTGTTGTTGTTAACAACCTGTTGCCTCACCCATGGAAACTCTTCTAGGTAGTTGACGGTGACATAATCTTATTGCTAATCAACCAGCAACCATGCCCATTACTTTCCCAAATTACAAGTTAATACTTATGAACAAAAACCACTATTGAGAACTTTGCATTTAAACAGACAAGAGTCAAATTCTTTGTTACATATTCAAATATTTACATGATGTGGAAGAGATTAAATAACTTTCTAACCTATGAGTTACCTAAAATGTATGTGTGCCTTTGGAATGGAGGATATGGAACAGGTTGAGAGGCTTTGCTTCTCAGTGTGTATTGATAGATCTATTTGTGAACCATGTGACGGTATTACCAACTTCCAAAATACAATTATAACAATAGTATACTTAACATCTTGCTATCATTACTTGGTAGATTATTTGCTCACTTTATTTCCTAGCAACTTTATTTAATGCAGATCTCTTGCAAAGAAAGCCTTACTGAAAAGAATCATTCTAATCATTCTAAACTGCAAGTTTAAATAACAGATCTTTATCTTTTCACCATACAACTTGATGTAACCAATCTTGTTCTCGAAGAGTTTTCCTTCCAAGTTCTGGAAACCATTACTCCAGGACATTAATAGCAAAAATCATGTGGCAGGTACAGTTTTAAGTGCTGTCAGCTTCACACTCCTGACGTAGGTGGTTGCTGTCCTCATTGAATAGACGAAGCAGCCCAAAGTGGATCCCAAATCACGGGCTGGTTCCAGGGTCCCTGATCTTAATCACTATGCCATACTGCTCAAAAACAGCTTTCCCTTGTAAACTAATCCACGTTGTGGAAAGCCTACCTAGGATCAAACCTGAGGCTCTAGTTTTACAGATCAGTCACACTGAAGATGAGGTTTTTAAAAAGGACTCACCCATTTATTCCGCAAATTTATGTGGTCATAGCCTAACAAAATTTTAGGGTGTGGGGGTGTAAAGATTTGTCTGCTTATGTAAGGGAAACTTTTTTTTTTGAGACAGTCTCTCACTCTGTCGCCCAGGCTGGAGTGCAGTGGTGCAATCTCGGCTCACTGCAATCTCTGCCTCCCCAGGTTCAAGTGATTATTCTGCCTCAGCCTTCCAAGTAGATGGGACTACAGGCACCTGACACCATGCCTGGCTTTTTATTTTTAGTAGATACGGGTTCTCACCACATCAGCCAGGCTGGTCTCAAAACTCCTGATCTCTGGTTATCTGCCCCCTCGACCTCCCAAAGTGCTGAGATTGTAAGCATGAGCCGCCACACCCAGCTGTTATATTACTAAAGTGCTTATGTCCGTGCATTTCCAAGTTAAAGGACTACATGGTCTTGCATTCAGGGTTCACTGCAAGAATCTAGAATTGAACCCTCAGGTGCCTTACAGATCCCTTTCTCCCCAATCAATGGACATCCCTGACAAATCTTTGTTCTGGTCTAAATTAATGTTTCTTGTAAAACTACCAATTGGCCAGGAAACATGGCTCACGCCCCTAAATCCCAGCACTTTGGGAGGTCGAAGCAGGTCTGGAGTTCCAGACCACGCTAACATGGAGAAACCCATCTCCACTAAAAATACAAAATTAGCCAGGCATGGAGACACATGCCTATAATCCCAGCTACTTAGGAGGCGGAGGGAAGAGAATCGCTTGAATCTGGGTGTGCTGAGATCATGCCATTGCACTCCAGCCTGGGCAACAAGAGTGAAACTATCTCAAAAAACAAAAAAACCCTACCAATCTCTTGCTACTACTCAGACCTTCAGAGTGATGGAGTCTGAGGGCTCATCTTAACTCCTATATACCACTGATTTCATTTTTAACTTAAAAAATTAAGTTCCCCTTCTAAATCTTGTAATTTCCAACTCAATTGTGATTTTTAATGTTCAGGGAAATACTACCCTGTCAATATAAAAACATTGACATATACATGTACCCCCCCCCCCAACTCGAAGTGAAAGTAGCAGCATGCAAAGAACTGACAGATAAAAACTAGGGTATTTCCATCCCAAACTGCATCACAGAGAAGCAATGGTTGCACTCTGGCATTTATTTACCCCGGGCAAAGTTAGCATGTACATGTCACCCTTGTTCTTCAGGATCTGGCATAAACTTTGCAAAGACCAAGTCCACAGGTGCATCTCTGTATTAGAACCAAACCCAAAACAGAAATGAAACAAGTGTTTTTGTAAACTAAGTCATACATACTTTCTTCAGAATTATAAAAAGTCATCGTTTACAACATGGGGAAAGGGGACAGTCCATACTTGTTCCAATTTCATTTCTTTCTCCTCAGATTTTAAAATTGTTTTGATCCCAAAGGTGCCTACTGAATTCTTAAAAAATAAACTGCCTTATCAGCTATCATACCTGAAAATGCTTCAACTATCTCTTGGTTATCACTTGAATAAGTTCAGGGATGGCAAAGGAAAAAATTACAGTATAGCCATGCAAAATAACATTTTCTAATTTCCCCCCTTTAGGATTCTAACTGGGGCTTAAAAACCCAATGAACAAGTGAAGATTCCCTCTGTACATGGCTTTTATTATTTACATAATACAATATAGCATCAATGCTGAATAGCATGATTATGTGCAATACATAAATATGAACTATCTGTACACATCTGCAGGTCTAACTCAGAACTAAGGTACATAAAATTGAAAGCAAAACTGAATGCTTTAAGAATAAAAGTAAAAACTAGGACTGAACACTGCAATAAATCAGAAGTAGTGCCTCGTGTACATACTTAACTATTTACAGATGAAAACAGGCATTACCACAACACTAACTATACTCATTTATATATAAAAAACACAAGTTTCATACATCACAAAAAACCTTCCATTATAACACAGAAGTGGTATTACCAGACAAGCATCAGTGAAGTATACTGCCTTTTCTAGTTGTTATTGTACAATGCTGTAGATAATGCAGCCCATGCAATACACCCAAGAACACTAGAGTCCTACACCCAAGTACAATATGATAAAGCAGCCCTCTGCAAGTGGTGCTGGATACCACTAAGAAGTCTACTGCAGCCATGTTGGTTATGATTTTCCATGCAGAAGGGTACAGTTACATTAAGAACTGAAGTCTTTTAAAAGGCTTTAAACATTCTTTCTTGAACCAAAACATTCGACAAAAGATGCACATGAAAAATTAACTACTCAGATACCTTTGCAACTTAAAATTCAGATGCATGTTATTCAATAGAGCTGCTGTATGTGAAAAACCAAACGCAGAGTTTAAATTTCTTCTTGTAAACAAATTAATCCTAGTGCAGTTCTGTGCTACACATTTTTAGCAATGAGTAATGCAGACATCTTCTGGTGCAGGCCAGCACAATAAGCTTCAAAGATTATCTCAAGACCCTGTTTGTTGTTGGTTTGATGGTTTTACTTATAAGCAGTTTCGATGTTTACCTTTCACAGAATGTCTTATTTGACAGCTTTAGATGACCAATTTAACTGGGCTTATATATGGCGCCAAATACTGGTTTCACGGGAAGGTCGGATCCTCTTTATAAGCATTTCTTCCTGCTTCCAAAGAACATGTTGTGAAATTAAGAGGGTGAAGTTTAACTATGGTAGAAGTAGACTGCCAGTCCTTTTCTGGTGTACCATTTTAAAAAAATACAGGCACATAACACTAGCCAAAGATTATACCTTGATTACATTCCCAAAAGGCAGATATGCTGCAAACATGCAGAGATTTCATTTATTTTGTTTGGCACATGGGAACTATATTTTGTTCCTATTATCTGTGTATTTCACTTTGCTGTGCAGATTTTCATCCAATTTTATTCAGGGGAGGGCATATACATTTTGTAGGGCTGTATCTATCCAATTCTGCCTGTAACAAACACCCAAACATCCTAAAATATCAATTATAAGACAGACAAGTATAAAGTAAAACTCTGGAGAACATCAAAGAAAAATGGCCATGCATCTGCTCTTTAATGTTTTCCTACGATATATTAAAATAAAAACAAAGTTTCAGTCTCTTCACAAGTAGTAATTTATATTCTCTGAATTTTTTCAGCCACAACAACTGGATTCTCTTTTCTGATTTTTGCTGCAGCTTCTGCTTTGTAATCATATGGACAGTTGTGCTTGTCAGAGTAACGGTGAAGTCCACAAAACAAATTTCCACATCGGCAGTCAAACCCTGAACAAACAAAGAAGCAGTCACTTGAGAACTTGAGGCAATTAAAACAAAGAAAGAAAAAAAAAAAGCTTAGTCACTATAGAAAGGGAACCAGGTTTTCACTGCTTTGCAACATAAAAGACAGTGAACTCTTTTCTTCTACTTTCTGGTGATAAGACACAGTCAACTCTTGAAAAAAGTCTATCACTTTACACTGGAAAAGGAACTTTTAACTTCCTTTGAGATGGTGAGAAATTCAAATAACTATGTTCAGTCTTCTCTTGCAAGGGCAACAGGGAAGTGTCTGGTAAGCCAAACCATGGGGAGAAAACAAAATGGGCTATCTGCCAGCTAATTTCTACCAGGTGCTCTCCCTCTATCAACTCCTGTAGATGCAAAGTAGGATAAAATTTACACAGGCTCTGGAGTTAGGCTGACCTGGATTCAAAACACCTTATGTTAAGTGGGTAATGTTTCCTCAAGTGAAAACAACCATCAAGGTCTGAGATTTAAAGGGGACAAGAAAAAAAAGCACTCAGAACATTCTGTGCATAGCTCAAAGCCAGTGGCAATGTCAGCAACATTTTCCCTAGGTATACAAAACTTTTATCAAACTAATAAAAAGAAAATAGAAGGGTGTGAGTTAAAACATTTCATATGATTAGGAGACAGATGGAAATTAAATTCAACTTCTTTCCACTCCAATACCACCTTCCCCACCTTTCCTAGACTACAGCTAGCCAGGCATTTTTTTTAATGTGTAAGATGAATCAGTCTCTTAGGGAGTGACCAAGAGCTCCTCCTTAACTACAGGAAGTAAAATACACATTGTCTTATTTTGTAATACCTGTAAGACCAACTTTCTTTCTGCACATGAAACATCTGTTTTTCTTTGGTTTGGGCAATTCAGGAGCTTTTTCTTCACTCTGAGAAGTACTGGGCTGAGAAACTGATGGACTGGGCTGAGTGACAACTGAAAAGGACAAAAACAAAATTTGTTAAGCATTCATTGGCTAACATTTAAGTCAAAAGAAGTATTTAAGAAGCATTCCTTGAAAATACTTTAACATGAGAACCTTTCAAATCGAGAAATTCCTGCCAATCACCATACTTTGCTTCTCTAATTTTGTAAAATGATCACTCACTCTTAACAGCCAGTACTAAAAACAAAATCCTAATTCTGTTTTAAAGAGCTGGGAGATGTTAATCATATGCTCAGTTTTTCCACATTAACTTCCTAAATGCAAACTTCTCAATCAGGGCAGTTCAAATTCATTACATCTCAGTAAATAAGAGTAGCCAACTTTGAAGCAGTTGGCTATAAATCATTTTGAGTTTTTTGCTTATAGAAAAAAAATCTGTAGATATAAACAGCAAATTTTGACAAAACCCAAACCATTAATCCCTAAAAATCAATGTTAGATCCAAAAATTCCAAAACAATCATTTTGCCATTTTCAAAGGTATACTAAACATTATAGGAAGACTTGAAAGTTTTTTTAAAGCTTGTTTTTTTAAAAAAAGATCAGCACAGTCTTTAGAAACTACTTGAGAAGTTCTGATTTTAAACTATCAAGGATTCCACAGGCAGAAAAAGAATCTTATTGGACAGTTAGAGTTAGCATCTACAAACAGTCCCACCACCATTTCTCCACCTAAAAAGGCTTTAAGTTTCAGTGTACATGACATCAATAAAATTTCTCACAATGAACAAAAAATAGATTATTGTACTGAAGCCCACGTTGCCACTAGTTATTTAAAACATCAAAATTTACATATACTTAATGTAACTATACCTGAAACACTATAAACTCGGGTTTTAATATTAATCCAAACCATAAAAATAGCAAATTTATGTATGCCAATGCTGAAATCACTGCCCAACTATGCCAGCACCAATGCTATTGGCTCCTACAGCAAGCTGATTGGTTTAATGGGTATTTACTCTAAAACTCTGCCCAAATTTATAATTCAATTGCATTAGCAATGTATCTACTGGGACGAATAACCTAATATTAGACTAAAAGAACAAAGTTCTACCTACTGCTACTGTGACAACACTAATGTTTTTCCAGATGTCATGAGGATAAAGAATAATCTATGGGAATAGTTGTATGGAGTAGAGAGAGTGTGTCAGTCATTTCTTTGGCCACACCTGAAAATGAACTGTGGCTCCTGAGACAAGGGAAGAATGGGGAATAAGAAAAAAATTATACAGAAAAGGCAAATAGCAGTGAACCACAAAATGCCTACTAATAAATACATACTAGCTACAGCTCTAACCCAAGACTATTCTTCCAAGGTCAGAGTATTTAAAAATAAAAAAAATAAAAAAAAGGCATCATAGGAACACTAACGTGGTCAGTTTTAAGGATGGAGCTCATTTCAAAATACCAAATATAGATTTACCTGCCAAACTTAAGAATTTCACCTTAACGTAAGATTAATACAATAAACAAACTTGACTGCTGTTAGCAAAAGCAAGCCTCCAAAGCAGATTGTATAACCACTGACACTATTTTTTCACAAGTTTTATATTGCATTTAATTAGCACTCTGCCAAAAAAGAATTGATCAAATATGTGCACTACATAAAGTACATAAATCTTTGTTCTAGGGCCTAGTACAGGTAATTCAAGTCAGTCTTCTTGCACCATTAGGGTGCTTCTGGTTGTGCTATGTAAGCAAAGTCTCCAAACTCACCAAATGTCCTGAAAAACAAAATGTCTTTTCACACTGAGTTTTAAACTCCCACACAATATACGGTAGGAATACTGCACTTCTTCAAATAAGTTTTAGTGTTCAATATGTTTTACTTTAAAGTTTTCTACAACACTGACAATATCAAAACTGAGTATTACTGCTTTTGATCATAAAATTATCCTTTATGACCTTGAAATTTCACTTCATCAAGTTCTTAACACATCCCATCTCCACATTACAGACTTCGCCCATTTATGCACATGAGGGTAATGCAGGGGATGAGCAGAGAAGAAACTGAGAATCAACAGAATGACTATTTTACACGTCAAGAAACTTTTAAAGATAGCAATTCTTTGTTTGGCCTGTATTTTATAGCTCTCCTTCCTCTTTGGTCCTTCAATGGGAAGGAAAGAATCTCCCCACCAACCATTACTTGCACTATCAAATTCAGAACTGAACAAGTATTAAATGAAAAGCATACCTGGCTCTGACACCTCTGTTTTCGGGGTAGTTATTTTGTCCTCTCTTGAAATGCTCATTTCTGTCATTTGCTGAGTTACAGGCAAGGCAGCCACAGGCACATTTCTATTTGAGTTCAAGCAAACAATTTTTAAAGGTGTTAAGGGTACTTCTTGAGACAATGAATAGTTGTCAGTTCAACTTTAAATTACATAATATTTCCAACATGAGCAAATGGAGCTAGAAAACCTAAAATTTAAAAAAATATTGGATGCCCAGCATAAATGGTTGAGAAAAAAGTTTGACAAATGGCTCATCAACTCAGGGCTGCATTTTGTATAAGTTGGCATATTCTAAAACTAACTAGGAATTTTTAGCTGTGCCTGTAACTTGTTTAAGGGCAGAAAGGGCAGCTCTGCCAAAATACCTTATTTGGTCCAGTAATATAGTCCATAGTCTAACTCGACAACCCCTAAACCTCAATGACAAAGAAATAAAAAAGCACAGCATTTCCAACACAGAATCCTTGAGGGAGTTAGGGAGTCCGTTCTTATATACATTTTTACTCAATGACTTAAGTCAGACACTGAAATTCTCGATTATGCAACAATGCAAAACCAAGGACATCTGACATATTCACATTTTTATTATTGGACTAGTACAGACATCTTGGTTTCCTCTTTGTAACATTATAAAAACTCTGAAATGTTCAGTCTTACCTTGATTTTTCAGATGTGCTGCCAGCAGCACCTTCACAGTTGTTTAAGCTAGTGTCTGCTCTTTGTACAGATGCAGAATCTGAGGTAGGACTGTTGGAACCACTAGCTGTCCCTATTTAAAAAAAGGACTTGTAAGGAACCAATGAACACTACAAAAACTCATTTAGTATCAAGACTTAGTAATGAATACTTGCATTTAATTAGGTTAGTGATATAAGCATTCACTGTGCTGTAATCCTACGCTTGAGTATCCAAACACAAAATATTAAAAAGTCATATCCAATGAACACAAGTGTGAAACAGAAAAATGTCAAAAAAAGAAAACTAAAAAGCTAGAAGATGCTTGTAGATAGCCAATGCATTCCTGATTAGTCAGGTCAAGTACTTGGGCTGTTGCTTTAATTTCAAGCTCTTGTTAAGTGTTCTCTCCATGGGCTTTCAGCATTCTCAGCCCCAATTTTTGGTTCTATATTTTCTGTCCACCAGTTCTTCAAATGTGTTTTTCCTTGAAAACAACTTACCCATTGGGCTCATTCTGCCACTATTCTGCTGTCTCTGAAGATGTTCTTTGTAGCAAACTGAACACATTCCATTTGTCCTAGGATTTCCATAAAAGCCACATCCTGTGCTACACAGCATGGGCCCCGGGGTCTGGTTAGTCTCCTGAGCCATATTTTCCTGCTATAGATGAAACAAAATTTCAGAAATTAGCATATCACTAAAATATAGTCTGATATAATCATCAGTATACCATTGTTATTTCTACACAAGTTTTACAAAAGCCTAAATTCTGTTAATCATTAAAGAGTAGGCAGAGATAATTATCAATATTTTGTTGCCTTTATAAAAGCAAACTGTTATAGGGCCCCCCCCCCAAAAAAAAAGAAAAAAAAACACACACACACACACAAAACCAAACCAAACCAAAAAACCTAAAAAGAAATTCTAACATTATTAAGATATTTTTACCTGTCACTATTCTTGGTTTCAATTTATGGAACGGTCTGCTAGCTCTCAGGGTTATGTTTTAATCAATTCAGGAAATTGGTATCTTTTATTCTTTGGTTACTTTTGACTCTCCTGCAGTACAGGTAGACCATTTCAAATGATGTTTTTACTTAGTTGGCTAATCACAATTCATCACTGACTCTTGATATTTATAGGTAGTTCTGTAAACTGGATGAGTAAAGCTTTCTTAAAACTAACACCTATACATATCTGGGCTTCATCAGTAATTTGACATTTCTGCTGAGGCAGGGCATCTGTACTTTTTAAATGTGGAAACATCTTTATATAAGGCTGAAAAGAAAGCTGGTAGCCCTTCCTGCTACCTTGGCACCAACAAGTAAAGTTTAAGAATTTAGGGTCAGCTGGTTTATGAAACTCCTTTTATGTTCTCCATTTGAGATGTGAAAATCTATTTCAGAGTACTTTACAGCCAGTGCGCCTAGGAACCTGCTATGTATAAATTATGAACCAAATTTCTCAGCCAAAGGCACTATTAATTTTTAACAAGTGCTTGTCTTCCTCATACCAGAAAATAATAAACTGTTCGAAGCTCAAATTCAATATAGTAAAGTAAGGCAATATAAATATACAACTCTTTAGTATTGCTAGGTTAATATTCAGTGCTAGGTTACCAGAAAAAGCTTTACATAGCAAGCATTTGTTTGAAAGCAAGCAAGGGTTTGCTTTCCTAAAAGTCTTGTTAAAATGCTGCGTTAAATTATTAAGTTTTCCTCTGGATGAGAGAAATTAATTATTCAAGAAAATTTATTTTACAATAAAGTTGTGGAGGGTTTTCATATCATCTTAAATATGTATAAGGGTACAAAAAGCATATTTGATAGCATGTGATTAAAGGGAAATTTGTGTGCCGTGACTTGTGGTCACAGTCATTTTTTCCAACTACTACATACTAGAATACACTTTTCAGTGAGTTATTACTTACTTTGAACAATAGTATTAATTTACTTGACCCTGTCTCTTTAAATAGTAAGTGGAATTTAGCTGACTCATTTTGGAGCAGGGTAGTGTAAACATTTCAACATCACTTAGGAAGTTTATTAATAAACACTTTCAGCTGGGTTTTTAAATGTTGAGTATGACGGGAGCAAAAATGCTTTCAAAAGATAAATATGTACATATTTACATGCCCACCATGCACAAAATGTGTGAATCTTTACCTATGCATAAAAGTTGGGTCATTCCTTAAAACCAGTTTAAGTATGCTAGCTCAAATTTTCTACACTAATGTCCACTGTCATCTGACATTGGCTTTAAAAACAAAACTGGCTTAAGTTTAAGGCTAAGCAATCAACCTACATATATAATTTTAATCTGTTAAAATCTTTTAAATAAATAAAACGGAGGATACTCCATTTAAAGATTTCACACACTTTGACAAAGTATTCCACCTTCCCTTCAGAACATGTCTACCTTCATTTCATTATAAATAACCTTCGACTGCGAGATGCACAAGGGGCACCATGACATGAGTCTTCTACATGGGTTCCCATCTTTTAGGTTTTTTTCCCCCTAGAAAGCCAGCTTTTAAATGCCATCACATGTGCACAGCTTGCTTTAATATTTCTCAGAAGCTTAGATCACATGGGAGGGAGCTTCAGCCTGTCACAAGGCTGCAATGTGACAAGCCGAGCTGGATGGAGGCTCTCACATAAAGCCTAGTCAACAGGGGCCTCTGAAATCAGCTTCTATTTATATCTCAAAGCCTGCCAACTCCTACACAACCCCAAGAACTAAGGATGCAGCGTTCATGTATCTAACATAAGAAAACAAAAAAGGCTGCTAGTTTTTTTCCTAATGAGGAAAAAACTACAGAACAATCTCAATCTAGAAGATGAAGGCATAAAAACCACTCAAAGCCAAAATGGTCAAGGTTGTTTATAAAAAACTAAGCACAGTAGAGAGCATAAGAAAGAATCCTCATTTAGTGGCAATTATTTGGAGGATGAAGTGGAGGATGCGTGTTCCCATTAGGTATTGCATTCCCCTTCTCGTATTTTAGAAAAAAAATACCATTACTATTTATCACCTTTAAAGTAATTAGAAACTTAAGCATGCACGTGTCAGCTCTATCAGGTATAGCTAAAACGCACATTTTATAAAGTTTATGGCTTCCTCTAACTCACAGCTTAAAAAAAAAAAAACCTCAGTGTAACTGAAAAATTCACCAATTCCAATTCGGAACAAAGAGCTTTTACACCCATGGAATATAGTTCTTCCAAGTGCACAAGATGTTATGAGACGGCATGAATTCCCACTCACCTGGGAATTGAGACCTGAGTTCAAGTCTCTAGTCTGCCACTAAGCCAGTGACCTTGGGCAAGTCCTTACTTTCCAGATTTCAGCTGTTTGCCAAATGGAGGAGGATTGACTCTTAAAGGCTCCTTTTCAGGGCCTGGGAGATAGAAAACAGGAGAGAACTACAACGAATCCTAATTTTTTAGATTTTAAGAAAAATCTTTAAATATAAAATTTCAATTTTTTACCAATTAAGAAATCCTACTTAAAAAAAATCCTAAATTCGTTTATGTTTTTAGGAGTCTGTATCTAAATCCCAGGTTTAAGAACGGGGACGTGTGACCTACATGTTCCTTTACCTTAGTATCTCCTTGGATTGGATGATATATATCCTTAATAGACATTCAATCAATAAAAGATATTTCGACCCTTCCCCGAAAACACAGCTCCACGAGGTGAGTGGAAAGCGAGCAAAAAATTTTTACGTTCACCAGCCTAAATGCACCAAACAAAGAAGGTGCTCCACTTCCTCCATGAAAACAGATCTCAGGGTAGACGTGCAGCAACGTCGAGAAACCCAAAACACGACGCCGGAGAACCCCCGGCCCCATGTTCCAATGGATTTTGGAACAAGTTCGGGTCCCACTGTTCCCCCATTCCCCTCCAAAGAAAGGCCCTACTCAGGAAAGCCCACTAAGGCCCTCTCCGAAAACCACTGAGTCATGCAGAACAGCAGCTCCGCAGGCCCCACGCCGATCCCCGACCCCGAACGGCTCTTCCGAGAGAACAGCGGTGGGGGAGGGACGGGGGGGTTGCAGCGGGCAGGGGGCGCGGCCCGCGCCTTGGCCTCTTTGTTTCTCCGGGTCCTGGTGCCTACGCCGGATGCCGCCGGCGCTGAGGGCGGCCGGGCGGGAGGCGAGCGGCCTAGAGGCCAGCCCCGCAGAGGCTGCACGCCGGGCATTGTTTCCCGACAGTGCTCTGGAGCGAGCCAGGGACGCGGGGAGCCAAGCCTCGGGCCACGACGACAGGATGACGCCTCCGTCTTTGTGCTTCCTGAGCTGGCGGGCGGGCTCCCCTCCCCCGGACGCCGCCATCCGCGGCCTGCTCCGGGTTCGCCGTTGGCCCGCGGCGCCCCCCGTCCCCTCACTCCCGCCCCCGGCCCGGCTCAAGGAACCCGGTTCCAGCCCCCAACCCCGTACCACTCACCGTGCAGGGCCCCAAATGCGAAAGCCGGGCTCGCACGCGAAGCCGGCACGGTGAGGCCGGGCCGAGGCCTCCGGGAAGGCTGAACCGGGCGCTCTGGTGCCGCCGCCGCGGGCCGGGAGCGGGTCAAAGCCGCAGGCGGAGGTGGCGCCGCCGCCGCCGCGGGGTCTTCCTTTGTTCCTGCAGCAGCGACGAGCGCGGCCGGGACACGCCGGAGCTCGGTAAGTGGGAGGAGGGAAGCGGGGAGGGGGGGCGAGGAGGAGCGGAGGGAGGACCGGAGGCCGCAGCGGCTAACGCTTCACTAGGCGCTCGCTTGTCGTCGCCTCACGCCTCCACAGGCGGCAAGTTGGGCGGACAAGGGGGAGCGGAGAGCTCGCCGCGAGGCCTGTGGCCCTAAGGGCCCGCTGATGGCGCTCTACGCCGCTTCTGCCACTGCTGAGGAAGCGGCGGCTCCCGGGAGCGAACAAGCCCGCGTAGGAGATGCACACAGCTTCGCGTCCCGGCCGACTAACGCGCTCGCCGCCCGGTGACCGGGCTGTGAGGGAAAAGAGGGGGAGGGGGCGGGACCCGTGCGTCAGCGAAAACCCCGACGGCGGCGGCGGCGGTGTCGGTGAGCGCGGTGACGTCGAGGGCCCGAGGCCACGCCCCCGGCGCTCAGTCAGTAGGTCCGGGAGGCGGGGCTGAGCTGGGTCGCTGTGCGCTCTGGCGGAGCCAGCCACTGGCCTGGCGTTCGGCCTCTGGGTGGAGCTGGAAAGAGCGAGTCCTGAGGAGGGTGCGTTTCTATTTTTAACCCAATTGTCCGCCCTCTGCCTCCCTCCTTCGGATTTTCTTATTCAGGCCCGTTTTTCGCCATCCTAGTTCTCACGCTTTGTCTCCTACCCTGGGCAGACATTCCCTCCCCCAGGAATTTTAAGGATTCACCCTCAGAAAAGAATGAGAACCGCCTTATGGCTTCGAAGTCTTTTCTGTTTGTGAAACCTTCTCACTCCCCACCCCCATTTTCAGCTCCGAAGTCCAGCCTGAGCTTGGCCCTGACGCGGCCGGCGGGGCGACTTCGCTCTCCCAAGGTCACGAGTGGTTGTGCGGCGTGAGGAAACGCGCTGCTGCCCAGGGCTGCCAGTGCCCAGGCGGCGCTGTTCTGAACAAACTGTTTTGGCCAGTCTGTAAAATCCCTGGAAATTGACCATTCCAGCAAAACGTCGTGTCCTGGGAAAGCACCAAATGTTCTACTCAAGTGCAGCGAAGGGACAAAACAAGCTAGACCTGAGGCCCAGATGAAGCGGGAGGAGGAGGAGGCTTGCGGGAGGAAGTTCAAGGGGGGAGGTGCTGGGCGGGCAGTTCCGGCACGAGGAACAGGTGCCCCCTGGGCGAAAGGATGACTTACCTCGAAACACTGGGAACCTTTTCAGAGCACAAACCATTTACAACTGACTGATCCAAGTGACTTTCAGTTCAACTCAAAATAATGAAATTACTAAGTCCGAAAGAACTTCTCAAATTTTCTAGTAAACAATGATCTAACGAATACATAGAAATGACGTTTAGGGCTTGTATTAGCCACATATAGAATGGAGAAGAGGTCTCTTTAGTGTTTCTTAAAGTTCGTAATCAAAAAAATCACTGGGTGATTAAAGATTCCTACGCCTCTCTCCTGGATATGGTTTTTGTTGGTCGCGGGGGGGGGGAAGGCGAGGGGTGGGGAAGGCGAGGGGTGGGGGATGGGGGAAAACAAAAACAAAACAAAAAAAAAAACTAGTGTTGCGCTTCAGGTGATCCGTATTTATAATCTGTATTTGGTGGAAGGCTGTGCTGATACCTTGAACCAACATTGCCGAAATCAGTTCTCCGCCACAGTTAGCAGAGTAACTGGAGCATAACAACCTTTTATTTTGAACAAATTCGGACTTATTACTGTGATCCATTAATGTATTAGAGATTTAAGCAGTTTGGGTCCTTGGTCCCATGATCATTAAAATTTATTTCCTTAAATTAGTAGATAAATTAGTAAAAAACATAGTAGCTACCATTTACAGGCCATTTTCAGTGCCAACTGTTTTCCATTTAAAGTCTCATTTAATCCTCACAGCAATTCACTGAGATAGGTACTGTTGTCATGTCCCTTTCTACAGATAATGGAACAATGACTAAAGAGCTTGCTCAGGGCACCGAAGGGCAGGGAGGCAATGGAGGTGATTATTGTTGAGAACAAAAATAACTTGAATTTTTTTTTTTTTTTGCCTCCTAGGATTGGAGTTACAATGAATGAAACAAGATAATTCCTGAAGAAGCATACTTGCAAAAAAAGAGTCTAAAGGTAATGAGGCAAGCTCATTACTGAAGGGTATTCCATAATTTGTCACCTTCTGATAATTCATCTTCTCTATCACCCTTTTATAATTTTCTCTGAGACTGTTTCAACCAGGGCTGTTGCAGGTATTGAACCTAAAAATAGCAAGATTCCCTTTCAGCAGATATTTTCTAGTGGTTCTCAAAGTGTGGTCTGCAGACCTGCAGCAGCAGCAGCACCATCTGGGAACTTATTAGAAATACAAAGTCTCAGGCTGCAACAACAAACCTGTGGAGTCACAAACTGGGGGTTAGCACAGCCATCTGTGGTTTAATAATCTTCCAGGTGATTCTGATGCATGCACAAGATTGAAACCATTGATTTACCCTTACTATGGCATCAGGTGACCCCTCTTTTTTTCAGATGGCTCACACCTTGTGAAGGGGAAAGTTTTAGAAAAAAATAAATAAATGAATAAATGGTCTCATATTACTGGTGTAACAGATTAAGGGATATACTTCTAAGAAGGTTTTTGTTTTATTTTTGTTTTCTTATATTTCACATTTTCACTTGGACTCCAAAGACAAACTGAATCGTTAAACACGAAATATATAATAGAATGCTTCTAATATAACATGCCAAAGGGCTTTACTCTATAGTCATTAGGGAAGGTGAACTTTGACCTGAAACCAACCTCTGTAAAAAAGATAATGAGCAAAGTTGGTTGTGCTCAAAATGTGGTATTACAGGTGGTGGCTCACACCTGTAATCCCAGCACTTTGGGAGGCCCAGGCAGATGGGTCACCTGAGGTCAGGAGTTCGAGACCAGCCTGGCCAACATGGCGAAACTCCATCTCTACTAAAAATACAAAAATTAGTCTGTGGGTGGCGGGTGCCTGTAATCCCAGCTACTCGGGAGGCTGAGGCAGAAAAATTATTGAGCCGGGGAGGTAGAGGTTGCAGTGAGCCGAGATTGTGCCACTCAGTCCAGCCTGGGATGACAGAGAGAGACTCTGTCTCAAAAAAAAAAAAAAAAAAGAAAAGAAAAGAAAGTTTTGCATATTTTCTATTTTCCAGGCACCCACTGAACTTGGTGCTGGGATATACATTTGTGTGAAAAATAGATGTTACCCTGTTCTCATGGATCTTGCTGTCATGTGGGGAGAAATATATTATCATATAATGTATAATTATGAACTGGTAAATATTTTGAAAGAAAAGTACAGAATGCTATGGGAGCATATAACCCATCGTAACGAATCCTAGAAATTCATCCAGGTCTGAGTTCCAACCATCCCCATGGCCAAAGGAGCCAGGCTATTTCCTTAAAGTAGGTAACCTGGTAGTCTGCTTAAGAACTTAGGTAAAGTCATTGCAGTTTCACTTACATTTTTCTTTGTAATCTAGGGATGGACTGGAAAGGGTATTGAAGATGGGAGAAGAGTAAATGTAATTAAATTTCTTGTAAAGTGAAAACTGACATCCCTTAAAAGCAATATAAGTTATTAGTCCACTGTAAAATATAAAAGACCTGAAGTTATTTTATCTTGACATATAACTTCCTATTATGGAGACAAGAATTGCTTCTATGACATTATTATAATACTCTGTCATGAGTAACTCTTCATTTTCTGTATGTGCTTGAGTAGAACTTGGTGAAGCACAAAGCCTTTTCTAGGGTCTTAAAAACTTTGGTGTGGCCGGATGCGGTTGCTCACTCCTGTGTAAGCCCAGCACTTTGGGAGGCTGAGGCAGGCGGATCACGAGGTCAGGAGTTTGAAACCAGGCCAATACGGTGACACCTGTCTCTACTAAAAATGCAAAAATTAGCCAGGTTTGGGCACGTGCCTGTAGTCCCAGTTACTCAGGAGGCTTAGGCAGAAGAATCACTTGAACTCAGGAGGCAGAGGTTGCAGTGAGCTGAAATTGCGCTACTGCATTCCTGCCTTGGCAACAGAGCGAGACTCAGTCTCAAAACAAACAAACAAAAATTAGCCAGGTGTGGTGGTGGCTGCCTGTAATCCCAGCTACTTAGGAGACTGAGGCAGGAGAATCACTTGAACCTAAGAGGCAGAGGTTGTAGTGAGCCGACATCATGCCACTGCACTCCAGCCTGGGTGACAGAGGAAGACTCCCTCTCAAAACAAAATAAAACAGATAAAATTAACTGGGTGTGGTGGTGCGTGCCTGTAATTCCACCTACTCTGGAGGCTGAGGCATAAGAATCGCTTGAACCTAGGAGGCATAGGTCGCAATAAGCTGAGAGTGTGCCACTGCACTCCAATCTGGGCGACAGAGCAAGACTCTCACTCAAAATAAAGAAAAGAAAAAGAAGGCCGGGCGCGGTGGCTCAAGCCTGTAATCCCAGCACTTTGGGAGGCCGAGGCGGGTGGATCACGAGGTCAAGAGATCAAGACCATCCTGGTCAACATGGTGAAACCCCGTCTCTACTAAAACTACAAAACATTAGCTGGGCATGGTGGCGCGTGCCTGTAATCCCAGCTACTCAGGAGGCTGAGGCAGGAGAATTGCCTGAACCCAGGAGACGGAGGTTGCGGTGAGCCGAGATCGCGCCATTGCACTCCAGCCTGGGTAACAAGAGCGAAACTCCGTCTCAAAAAAATTAAAAGAAAAGAAAAGAAAAAGAGAAATAATACTTTGGAGCATATCATAACTTGGTTTCATGGGGGGGGGCTTGCCAGGAAGACAGGAATAGTGTCAGTGATTCAGCTAGAGCCCAGCAACTGTGCTGGAATAAATCTTAGGCAGTGGGCAATTGTCCCTAAGGCCCTATCAGTCAGCAGAGAAAAAGGTAGAAACGATTAGGGAGGTCAGGATTCAGGCAGCAGACTAGCATGAGAAAGGTAGGTAGGGTTGGGCCTCTGTCCTAGAGCAATGTAAGTTCTAAGCAGAGAGCCAAGGCAAGTTTCTTAAGTTTGTGTAATGTTTTTCCACTTACAATGTATATTCAAATGTTTTAATTTGATAAATTCTCATAGCAGCCTATAGAGGTAAGTTTTTCATCTCTCTTTTTGCTGGAGGAGTTGACTGAGGCTCAGGGCAAAGTTATATATCCTGTCCATTGTCATATATCTAGTGAGAGTACAGCCTTCTGTTCTTCAGCTCAGTGTTCTGTTGCCTCTTCAGGATCACTTCCCCCTTTAAATTTATTTCAAAATTATATTTCCCATTAGAATGCTCGCCTTTTTTTTTT